GGATGTCTGTCAATGTAAAAGAAAGCTGTTGAAAGGGAGAGGAGAAATCCATGTCAATATAATACATGCCAAATTATGTCAAAATGGATTTTCTTCTTAAGCATTTTAACTTATGGAGGGAAATCACTTTTCAGTGGCATATTTATAGCCCATCCCTTCATAATGGATGGAAACAATACTTGTGTCTACAAAAAGGCACAGCCATGTTCCACCTATGCCATTTTCAGAGGTCTATAACTGCCATGGTTTCCTAAGTCCAGGGGTAGGGAACCTTGGCTCTTTTATGACTTGTGGACTTCAACTCCCAGAATTCCTGAGTCAGCATGGCTGGTTCAGGAATTTTGTGTATTGAGGTCCACAAGTCATAAAAGAACCAAGGTTCCCTATCCCTGCCTAAGTCACTTCACATTATTACCTAACTCTTAGTGTATGAGAACAACACAGAAAAGGGGACCATTGTTACAAATAGTAAATATTATTCTTGCCTTCAAAAAGGAGAAAAAAAGAAAAACAAGATTATAGACAGGTCATTGTGATAGTGTCCTGATTTCCTTTTTGATAGAGTGATGATTATGATTGACCCAGGAATATGGTGGATGACCTTGACCTCAGTCAAGAATTTATCTCAAACCTCTCATTTCATGGGGGTCGCCAAGCAAGGCTGTCCGCCATTTTTTTGTCCGCCATTTTTTTTGTCCACCATTTTTTCCCCTTTTCCGGTGGGTGCCTTACCTCCCTTGGGCTGGGCCAGCTGGTGGTCGGCCTGCTCCATCTCTGCCGCTTGCCAGCTATGCCTCGGCCGGCGCAGGGGGCGGAACCACGCATGCGCGGTGCTCCCGGGCAGGGAAAGTCCTCGACTTACGACCGGTTGGGTAGTCCTCGACTTACGACCGGTTTAGTCCTCGACTTACGACTGGTTTAGTCCTCGACTTACGACCGGTTGGGGTCGCGGCATTAAAAAGGTTGAGAACCACTGCTATAGCAGAAGATTCCTGCACTGGTCTAGAGGTTCAACTATACAATCTCCAAGATAAATTCTACTGAACCCCTCACATTCTATGATTCCATCTCCTTTATCTCTTTTTGCAGTCTCTCCTCTCCCTTCTGCTCTTCAAATATTGTTCACAGCAGTTGCTTTCTAGAGGCAAATAAGAGCAAGAAAGTTATCTCAATTCTTTCCCGTTCTCACTGGAAATCCTAGGAAAATTTCAATTTAACCTAAAATGATCTTGAGATCTACATTGATTGACTGATCAGGTGCCACCAAGCTATTCTTTACTCTTAGCAACAACACAGACAGATTCTCTAACCTGGGCTTTGAAGTCTTACAATGATGCACTCATTACCATTATAACTGAGTCCATTCACCTTTCAAGTTAGATGCTATCGATATGAAGTGAGGGAGAACAAGCTAAAACAAACCTGAAATCATCACTAAAAGTGCTGTGTGGTTGTTTAGACCCAGTGGTCCACTGGAAAGAAACATCAAAGATAAGACAATACTACGCAATATAAATTATAAACTCAACCCCTCCCGTACACACTGTGATTCCAGAGTTTTTGATGAACTATTCCCTGTGAATGGAAATTCTCATCCCTTCTCTTTTCCCACCCTGGCATTTGTTATATATAAAAACCTATAGCAATGTAGTAGTATTTTTCAGGCAATTTGCTGGTTTTGTGAAGATGCCAGTTTAAGTATTATACAACGGGGAGGAAAGCCCATTTCATATCACACAGAGTTACAGGAGACAGTTCAAAGGAGTCCATTTTTCCTTCCAGAACTAACAGGATCTAGTGCACATCCTTAGCAAAACCTGGCTCTCTTTGCATTGCACAATTATTTTCTTAATCAAGTGTCACATCTAGGAGTTCTTCTTTATCCTAGAACATAAATTGAGATTTGACACCCTGAAACAATCAACTGCCTCATAGCTGGAAAACATTCATTTTCTGATATAGCTTCATGACCAGTCATCCAAGCAAACAACCTTTGCTTTGTTTAAGGATCTCCTCTTTTATTTTCTATTGGGGGGGGGGGGAAATGTCCAGTTGGTGTTTTTTTTTAAAAAAAAAACCTTTTTATGTGTCAATTATCGCTGAGAGACCTGAAACATTCTTTTATACTGGGGCTGTGTGGAAGGGATAGTTAAAATTTCAAGCAATTATCCGCTTTTGCAATTCTCAGGGAGACAATAGTATTCTGTTTTGTACTGTGTTGCTGCTGGGTAGTATGGAAGCATCTTTCATGGCTGCAATTAAAGGCATCTGTATCTCACTAATTCCTCCCCTGCTTCTTTCCATGTCTCAATTCTTAGAGCTGCAATGAACAAAGAATATGGGAAAGAGAAGCTATTTTTCACAAGATGGTTATCCAGGAATTATAAACTTAGCATCTACATTCTGTAGCATCACATCCCCTCTGGAATGAGATGCCCCCAAGATCCGAGTGGTCCTCACACTGTTGTTGTTCAGAAGAGTGGCAAAGACCTGGCTCTTTGTCTTTGGCAAGGGAAGGTGAGACCCCCCTCCCTCACTCCATTTCCTCTGATGTACAGTATTTAGTGCTTGTCATCTTTTATCTTCTAAGGATTTCATTGCAATTTCTTCATTTGGTTGTTGTGAGCTAACCATAGGCACACAACAATGATCATTACTGTTTGCACAATATTTATTTATTTATTTAAAACATTTTGATATCCACCCATCTTATAAGAAACTCTGAGCAGCTGCCCATGTTTGAAGTCTAGTTAAATTTAACCTTGTTTTGGGTTTGTTTGTGCATGTACAGCTTAGGATGTACTGTAAACCCATTTTGTTAATTTAGTGCTCAGTCTATTGTGTGGACCCAGGAAACAGATTATTGAAGCAACTGGTAATTATGCGCTGTGCAAAGGCAGTTGTGTCCAAAGGAAAGGTAAAGAACAGATAGACTTTATTTTCTGTTGCCTTTTCTTGTTTACTCATTTGCTCTCAACACCCAGAAGGAAAGAAAGGGCAGTCAGTTGAACAGAAATGTCAACAACAACATGCTCAGTAATGCTTAACACAGTTGGCCCACTCCAAATCACCACCAACATGTGATAGTCTAAGCCAAAGAACAGTGATCATCTGCAGCTCTGGGGGCAGCACAACACTGTAAAATTGGGCTCCCTGGTGGCAAAGAGATTGAGAGAGGGAGAGAGAGAGAGAGAGAGAGAAGGAATTGTGGTGACACACACAACGAAAATGGGTCCCGCTGGGACCAGTTCTAAAAGAGAAAATGTACACAGAAGAGAGGGCAGAAACTGAAGCTGATCCTCACAGTTGCAGTTCACGGAAGCTTAGGACTTTTAATGAAATTGGCTGCCACCAATTGGCTTCTTTTGATAGTTGCCCAAATGCCTATCCTGCCAAGCCAAAAAGAAAGCAGAGTCCCACCTTGAAGGCATGTGGCCAAGGTCATGCTAAATCTGAGACCATCCTGGGACAGAGATGAAGTAGCTAGGAAGGTGATATTGGGATTACCCAAGAGTATGAGGAAACAGCCACTGATGAGACGGAGAGAAGGGACACGGGACAGGAAGGCAAGAAAGAGGCAATGTGGCAGGTTTGGGTGAGTTGACCAAGTCTTTCAGCCTTGGGAAGCTGCACTGAAGCCAAGCCACTACCCGCCTAGCCTTCCAAAAAGCACCGACTTGGCTTTCCCTCCAAGTGCTGGGATAGGGTGAGGTGGAAGAGAGGATTTAAGTAGACGCGACTTGTGGAAGCTTAACTTGACAGATTTTTAACGTTTATGGGTTTCATAGCTGTATGCACTGTTTTGTTTTGCAATAGCGGCGTAGCTCGGGTGTAGGATGAGGGTGAAGGTTCGTTCTCCGAGCTTGGGGGTTGGTTTCTCAGCGTTTCGTTACCAGGCTAGGCAACATCTTCAGCGGAGTTTAGTGGGGATGTCCGTGTCAGTGCTCTTCTGTTTATAAGGGCTTATAAACAGAAGGGCGCGAAACCCTTATAAACAGAAGAGGCACTGGCAGAGACATCCCCCTAAACTCCGCTGAAGATGTTGCCTAGCCTGGTAACGAAACGCTGGGAAACCAACCCCCAAGCTCGGAGAACGAACCTTCACCCTCATCCTACACCCGAGCTACGCCGCTATTGCAAAACAAAACAATGCACACAACTGTGAAACCCATAAACGTTAAAAAAAATCTGGCACTGAAGTTAAGCTTCCACAAGTGGCGTCTACTTAAATCCTCTCTTAAAACCGACCCGCAAGCTCGGAGAACGAACCTTCACTCTCACTGTTTTGTTTTCTTATGGGTGTGATTTTAATCGGTTGGCTGAGTCCGATATGTGATGGGCGGCTCTATAAGTGTTTTGGATAAACAAGCAAAGGAACAAAAAGTTCCGAAGGGGAAAAAAAAAAAACGTCCTTCCTCCGGGCTGCCTCTTGGCCTTTTGCTCGCTCGCCAGAGGCAGGACGAACGGGCCCTCCTGCCCCAGGGAGTCTGTTGGCACTTGTTGGCTTGGCTTTCCTTGGCACAGGGAGTCTGTTGGCTTGGCTTGGCGGCGGCGTCCGTCTGAGCAGGGAGAAGTCTCCTCTTGCAGGAGCAGATTGGCGGGAAGCGGGGGAGGGAGGGAGGGAGGCGGAGGGGGCGCCCTCCCCGCCTTGCCCTCCTCCCACCTCTTTTCTCCCTCTCGCTCTTCGTAGGTGCTGACGCGCCGCTCGCCTCCTATTAATCATCCCTGCGAGCCGACGAGCTGCAACTAATGCCAGTTGGGCTGGAGGCGGTGCGCAGCTCCGTCCTTTTTCCCGCTCTCCCTGCGCCCGCGCCCGCGCCCGGGCTTGCCGGAGCAAAGGACGGCGGCGCTCGCCCTCAGCCTGTGCCCGGAGGAGAAAGGATGCTGAGCTGCCGCCGGGCTGCCCGGGCACTCGCGCCGCCCCTGCCCCCTTGAGCTCTCGGGCCGACGGGGCGGAGGATGGCCCCTGCGCCAGGCTGGTGGCGGGCGCTGCTGGAGGCATGGACTCGGCAGCGGCTGGCAGGAACTCCTCCGGCCCTCCTGGCCCCAACGGCACGGTGAGCGGCGGCGGCGGAGGCGGCGGTGGCGGCGGGGGTGGCGAGTCGCCGGGCAGCGGCAGCGCCATCCTCATCTCCTTCATCTACTCCGTGGTGTGCCTGGTGGGTCTGTGCGGGAACTCCATGGTCATTTACGTGATCCTGCGCTACGCGAAGATGAAGACCGCCACCAACATCTACATCCTCAACCTGGCCATCGCGGACGAGCTGCTGATGCTGAGCGTGCCTTTCCTGGTTACCTCCACGCTGCTCCACCACTGGCCCTTCGGGTCGCTGCTCTGCCGCCTGGTGCTCAGCGTGGACGCGGTCAACATGTTCACCAGCATCTACTGCCTGACCGTGCTCAGCGTGGACCGCTACATCGCGGTGGTGCACCCCATCAAGGCGTCGCGCTACCGCCGGCCCACCGTGGCCAAGATGGTTAACCTGGCCGTCTGGGGGCTGGCCCTCGTCATCATTCTGCCCATCCTCATCTTCTCCCGGACCGAGGCCAACACGGACGGCACGGTGGCCTGCAACATGATGATGCCCGAACCGAAGCAGAAGTGGCTGGTGGTCTTCGTGGTCTACACTTTCCTCATGGGCTTCCTCTTCCCCGTGGTGGCCATTAGTCTCTGTTACATCCTCATCATCGCCAAGATGCGCATGGTGGCGCTCAAGGCCGGCTGGCAACAGCGCAAGCGCTCCGAGCGGAAGATCACGCTCATGGTCCTCATGGTGGTCACGGTCTTCGTCATCTGCTGGATGCCTTTCTACGTCGTGCAGTTGGTCAACCTCTTCGTCGAGCCCGACGACGCCACCATCAGCCAGCTCTCCGTCATCCTGGGCTACGCCAACAGTTGCGCCAACCCCATCCTCTACGGCTTCCTCTCGGACAACTTCAAGCGCTCCTTCCAGAGGCTCCTGTGCCTGAGCTGGATGGACAACGCCGCCGAGGAGCCGGTCGACTACTACGCCACCGCCCTCAAGAGCAGGGCCTACAGCGTGGAGGACTTCCCCGCCGACAACTTCGGCGAGTCAGGCAGCGTGTACCGGAACGGGACTTGCACCTCCAGGATTACAACCCTCTGAAGGCAGCTTGCTGACTCTCCCGGGCCGGATCCAACGGAGTGGAAGGGGAGGGGGGGCGGGCGGGGGAGATCGAGCCAAGAAAAAGCCTGGGGGGGGGGACAGGGAAAAGGACGGGCGGCTCTCCGCTGGCCATCTTCGGCTTCTAAGCTGGACGCTCCTTCTTCCTTCTCTGGCAAGGGATGAGTTCTTGGGCGGCCTGGCCGGTTCTCCAGCCTTTTCCGCTTACCTACGTCCCGGAGCCTAGAGTCTCTCTAGTCTAGTGGTTTCTTTGAGGCCCGCGGCCCGCGAGTGTGCTCTTTATCGGCGAGGGCGCCTGGGCTTGGCATCAAGTTGAGGACTACTGGATCCCCCCTCGATATCCAAGTCCCGCGCGAAAGATTGCTGAGCGCTGCTGGAAGGTTTTGCTCCTGGCTTCAGAAAAGAAACCAAACCAAATCAGGACCTGGGTTGCCTTTATGTGTTGCGGCAGCCTAAAGAGATGCTGAGGGGTGGGCTCAACACATACCCCTCTAGAGCTGTGGGTATTTCTGGTGGTTAGGGGTGTGTAGTGTGTTGTTTCAGAAGTTGGGACTGGACTCAGTCTTGATAAGCTCACCTGGTGTACTCAGTGGTTCGCCTGAGCCAACCAGCAGTTGGCATTTAAAAACATACCCGCTTAGCTTTACAATGACCCTTGTTTCTAAATCATCCCACAGTTCCATCTCTGGAAAAGAAAAATAATTCCAGATTTGCCAGAAGGTTGGCAAAAAAATCCTTTTCGCCCTTTCCAAGAACTTCCCCAGCAGGAAGCAAATGATCCGGAGGCAGTGCAAAATATTAGATCCGCTTGGCAGTCCCAGGAGAAAGCTAACTATTCTATCAGCTTAATAGAAACGAACAATCTATCTTTTTCCCCCCTGGGTCACAATTTCTATTCACTGGCTCTGAGCAAGCCTGGGGGAAATGGCGATCCATCTGGAAAGGGAAAGGAAACCAGTCCAGTAGAAAGCAAGCACGGTTTTGTTATCTCAAAGCAGCAGCTGGCTGTTGATAAGATAGAAAGCGCCAGGCTCCCACTTTTTCCCAGCAACTATCAAGATCTGCGTCCTGAACTGCCAGCGGTGTTTGCTTTGGGAAGCATTTTGAATCAAGGGGAGGGGAGAACAGCAAGATTACAGTTCTGGGCTGGTATTTGTTATGAACCACCAGCAGAGAGAAGTAAGGGACTGTAAGGAGAAAAGAGTAGTTTGTGAATGGGAGGCTGGGGAGGGTTTTTGTTTTTTTAAAGCCTTCTTTGTGACATCAAGATTACTTCAGCCACAAAAGTACTCACCAATGGTTACCTCAGAAAATATATATATATCTGGCTTTAGAGGAATAATGATTAAATTGCTTGAAAAATTCAGTCAAAACTACCCTTCTAACTGTTCAAAAGCAATTCAAAATGAAAAAAAAAACAATGTAGCAAAATTCGAGATTATTTATTTACTTACTTACACAACTTATGCCAGTTGAATCAATCCACCTCAGATGATGATTAGTAATTTGTCTTGCTAGATCCGGCCCAACATCATTTAGACCAGTGCTTATCTCCAAGTTTAAAAATCAACCAAGGAAAAGTCACAGGAGATGCAAAGCATTGATTTAATATGTTGTGCTCTTTTAACTGGACCTCAAATTCAGTAACAAGGAGGTCTGTAACCTTTTTTTCTTCTAGAAAGCATAAATCCTATGGGAGACCTCTAGTCCTTCCCATTGTAATCATAATATATAGCGCTGAGAGTGGAGTTCTAGGCCTGGTTTGTTTTGAGTCATGTTCTTTGTTATAGTTTTTATTTATTATTTGGCTGTAACAAAGATTCAGTTTGATTTGAGTCATATTCTGTCCCTTTAGAATTAGGGTGCATATTTCACATAACTGATGGAGACTAAAAAAAAGAGTTCAAGAACAACAAAACGGCTAAATGATGATAGCACAAATGGCCTCATCTGACCAAATATTTTCTCTATAAAGCAGCCAAGAAGAGATCCTACAAAAGAAATAACTAAAAACAAGGTGCTGGAGTGGGACTTGGGGAGGATCCAGGCCACCCTCTTTTCCCCACTTCTACCCAGATGAAATGTATTCTTCATTTTGCATTAGTTGAATTTATAATACGCTTGTTTAAATATTTTGCTTTGTGTTACATTTCTTGGGAGCCAGTTTTCAAATGTAAAATAAATAATTTTCCTTTTTATATTTCTAATTCTATGTAGTTTCTATGTTGTGGAGACAATTCTCTATAAAACAGTCCTGAAAAATAGATTTGGGAGTATACAGATTCATGATGCTTATATCTGTTTAAAGCACTTTCTTTGGTCAGAGAATGTTTGTAGTTTGGGAAGGAATTCCTTTTGTTCTTGTATTTTGTCTCCTGTCCTATATTGTTACTGTATATGTTTTGGAAAAGTGTTTTTTTATAAAGAATAATGATGGCTAAAATACAACTCTTACTATCCTTTGCTTTAGATTTATCACAAATAGTTTGATGAAAATAAAAAAAAACAATTTAATGCCCAAATAAAAAGCAGATCTGAAATGGAAATCCTAATATTCCAAATATTTTCTATTTAATTTAATTAGCAGAAGGATCATTAAAAGGAACTGAGGTAAGAACTGTGATAAAATAGGTTCGTATTTGCTTGAAAATATGTATTCATAAAGTACAGATCATTTTGGAATAAACCTATTCAAATTACAATCACGATCTCCTAATGCCTTTTAAAAATAAGAGTGTATTTTCACCATCATACAAGAGTGTAACACCATCTTGTATGATGGTGTTAGTAAACATTTCAAGTTTAAAGCAGGATGAGTTGAGAAAACATAACTTTATAATTACTCAACTTTATTATCTTATTTACAATCCAATTTCCATGATAAATTCTTATCAATTTTATTCTGATAACTTGCAGAGGTTTTGACAATTTCTTGAACTTTAACAATAGTTCAGTTTCTTGCAATTTAGTTAGTTAATTAATTAATGTCAGCACTTAATATGGTACTTTTGAATGGGATGCAAATAGAAAAAAAATCCTCAGTGCATTCGGCTTGGATTAATAATGTTCTTAATACTACAAAACTTGAACTCATTTTATCAAGCAGAATGTCCTACTAAACCTGTGAGAAAAATATGTATAATACTGCTGTAAATTAGATATTAAAACTTGCAACAATATTGTACTGTAATTAAATCACATATATTTGTACTTTTCAACAATATGTACGTTGTTCAAAAGTACTTATTCATAGCCAAACGCTGCATTTCTCTCAGTGAAATTTTATTCTTTGTGTCTGAATTGTGCTTCCAGATTAATCAGAAAAAAGGGGGGGAGGGAATTAAGAACTAACACTAGAAGACAAAAATAAGCCTAAATGCAGTTTAGTCTCTTCAAATAGGCTGAACACTATTTGGACAAACTTTGTTGCACTGCTTGACAGAGCTATCTGAAAAAGTACATTTAAAAAAGCTGGAAGAAAGACCTCTGAAAAGAATTATTCATAATCTGTGGAATTAAAGGAAAAATGTTATGTTTATTTTACAATTCAATCTTATGTGTGTCTACTCAGAAGTAACTCTCACTGGTTGTCACAGGACCTATTTCCCATAAAGGATGTACAGGATAGCAGCCTCACAAATGTCAAAAGATTGATCATTAACTATTTATTATAAAAGTTACCAAAATACAAGATTTTGAATCATGCTTTTAGCCTGTATTTTGGAGTATTAACTTGACATGTATTTTAATTCGTTTACTAATTGCACCTTGCCTTTTTTCAGGGCTCCCTTTCCATGTAAATTCTAACCTGCCACTGAAATGAAAAGCATCAAATTGTTTAGGGCAGAAACACTACTGTACCAGTTTATAATACTGTTTTACAATATTAGAACAGCATTTCAACTTTAGATCACTTATTTCCTTAAGAGAGTATCTATCCAGTACTCTTACGTTGTGACCTTCCTCCAGCAATGCTGTAACTCAGTGTTAGCTTAATAAATAGATGTCTTTAACACTTATTTGCAATCCATTTTTTATTGTTCCTCTGCAATTGCCTGACTGGTTTTGATCTTTAAAGGACATTGAAAAAGCATATGATTGCACATAGCCCTGACATTTGTTGAGACAAATAAACAAGGATTTGCTTGTTCTTTTGT